AGTACACGCTGGGTACTGCACAGATGGCAAGCAGCTTTGCTGAGAAGTTCCTTGGGGTCCTGCTGGACAATAAGCTGAGCTTGAGCCAGCAATGCTGGCTGGCTGCAAAAATGGCCAACAGTATCCTGGGCTGTATTTAAAAGATGATTGCCAGTGTGTCAAGGGAAGTCACCCTTTGTGTCCCCTCAGTGCTGGTGAAGCCACATGTGGAATACCGAGTCTGGTTCTGGGCTGCCCAGTACGAGCAAGTTGTGGACAGATTGGAGTGACCCCAGCACGGGCTCTGAGATCCTGCTCCAAAATGGTGCTGCAGCTTGCCCAAGAGGCAAGTCCTGGCACTGGAGCTTTGCTCTGGTGCCCCTGTGTAGCTTGCAGCCGCCTCACTGCTAGGGGTGGATGCTGGCCAGCCCAGGGCCAAGAAGAGTGACCTGCTCCTTCTCCCTGCAGGGCGAACAAGGGGATGTCAGCTCCATCCTCGCTTCTGCTCACAGCTCCGTTGAGCACACCAACGGAACAGACCCCCAGGGTGGGAAACAAAATGAGAATGACAACTATCGTGTGGGTTTCAGTGGAGTTTATTTTGCAGTTGGCAGCTGCTCTGGAGTGGAGGGTGAAGGTGACATGTTTTGTAGCCCTAAACCCAGCAGGCAAGTAACAATGCAGGGCTGTGTTTTATTTTGTCTTTGTGGTTCAGTGGCCATGACGCCAGGACAGCAAAAGTGCTGGAGGCTATTCCTCTGCCTCCCACACTGACCTGCCCGCTGTGGCCTTTTTCTAGGCTTTTCTCAGAGCAGTGAGCCAGTGTCAGCACCAGAGGAGGGACACAGTACCCTCGGACTTGTTCTACGGCAGCACCTGTCCAGCCACCCTCCCCAGCACAAGGTCCCTTATGAGACAGAGAGGTCAGGAGGTGACAGTGCCAATTGCATGGCTGGTGCACAAAGTTCCCAGCGCAGACTTTCTCCAGCAATTTCCATCTTTTTTTTTTTTTTTCCCCTAAGACTGGTCTGAAATATGTTTTGTCAAACAAAAGTTACATCCTGAATGCAGCAATGAACATCTCCATGCCCAAAGCTGTGACTGACTGATCAACAAACCTCTACAAGTGGAAGGAGACTCAGAGCAGTTGGGCACAGGCAATGAACTCATGATGCTCAGAGAAGAATATAAGGAGCAACTACACCTGTTGTAAAGAAGGCTGAACTTATCTCAATGGAAAAGGTATCGGCTTTTGGTTTAGATTAACTGCCATATCAGTTGAGTGATCAAATGGTTGTGTAGGTAGCCTGAGTTAATCAAAAGATGTGAATGATTTCCTGAGCCAGACAGACCAGCATGGGGCTCAGCCCAACATAAAGCATGAAAACTGAGCAGCCAACAAAACAAACTCTGAAGAGAGCTACAGTCTTGAGCTGGCTTCAACCCATGTGTTTCTTCCTGGTGATTGGAGATACCCAGCATCATGACAGTGTGTATAAAGACCAGTAATGCGAATTTTGTTTGTACTGTGATCCAACTGGATGTTGCAACTGCTATATTGTGCTTGTGTTGCGATTGCTGCTTCACTCCTCTGAATCAAAATCCCATCTAACATCAAATGTCCTCAAATAAGTACATTTGTTAACAACATATTAAACCCTTCTCATGTGGAACACCTAAAAGAGCCTGGTCAGAGTGCATTGGACAAGAGAAGCACGGGGACTGCAAGGCGGCATGGTCAGGAAACACTTCACCAAGCAGTATGCATCTCCAGGGGGGCTCAGTTTGCTCAAGACACCATACACTGCAGTATAATGTAGAACGGTTTGAAATGGCCATCCCTTTGTAGCATCAAAGGTAGATGGGAAAGATGTAAGAAGACAGGCCCATGTGCATAACACTGTGTACAACCTGCCTACTAATGTAAGGCCACAGCTTCACGCAACCAAAACAGACAGCAGGTGACACTCATTTGTGACCTTGATTCAGCTTAATTTTTAGTTGCTTCAAAAACACAGTAAAAAACCAACAACTTTGCATGTATCAAAAAGTAAAACTCTAAATATATTTATTATTCAGTTCCATTTGCTTTTCATTGCACAAATTTGGTTTTTATCCCCATGTTTTACAGTTTTTTACAAAGCTGTCAGGAGTTTTAGAAACTTAAAATGATCACTTAAGTCTATTTAGGCACAGTTCATTAACACATAACTCCACTTCCTCCACTTTTTTTTCTCTGTGTGAAAGATTTATGGTTGCACTTAAGCTCCAAATTGAAATACATTTCACAGTCTATGCTTTTACAGGCATACTGTCTAAAAAAGAAGTTTTGATTAAATAGTCTTGCCTTATCAAATGTTGCCAGCAAAGCCTAAATGAAAGCAACTTCTTTTCCAGAAATGCTGAAATCAATACAACCCTAAGATAAGAACCATAGTGTCCAACCATTTTCTATGCTAGCTAGTCATAGGATAACAAAGAAACAGTCCTTAGGAGGATTTAAAAATCCCCTGGAAAAATTACATTAACTTGGAAATAATTTAAATAATTTATTCTGTATGAAAAATAAGAAAAAAAAAAAAAACAAACCAGCAAATAAAACACATATGGTGACAAGGAAAGTGTTGTATCCCCTGGACTGCTGAGGCTGTGTCAAGTGCTCTTCCTTCTGATAATGACAACTTGAAAACCAGAGTGGGTATCCCTGGGGCTACCCTCTATGAAAATAGCTTTGAAGTTTGAAGCTGTCAGGCCTGTTTGACATGGCTGAAAAACGGTGAGCTTCTTGATTTCTTACATAGCTCTTCTCTTTGGTGAGAAAGCCTGACCACTTCTGCTGTAAGATTCATGTGTTTGGATTAAAGCTTTTTATCTGGGGTGAGCTGCTTTTCCACATAACTGCATACTGCAGTGTTCCCAGGGCACAGGAAAGTCCATTCTAGAGGATCTGAAATGAGCTGAAGTTTGTTTCAACAACTTTGTTATATTATTTTTTACCAAAAGAGTGATGTTAAATAAGTGGCTGATGCTAAAGGACTCTTCCCAAAGAGCATTAACATCTACCCCCTCTCTATAATGCTGCAGAAAGAAACAGTATTTGTGACTTTTTAGCACCCAGATCTGTTGTTGCTATTTAGAAATGAATGAAATATTTTTGAAAGCTGGGTAAAGTCTTTGCAGCAGAGCAAAAGGGATGCAGAAATCTTTATGTGAGTCTCATATAAGAGTTTTTAGTGCCCTTGAGCTCCCTGGTGGCTATTGCTTTCAGGGACAACCAGAGGGGTATCTCACATGAGCACAGGCAGTGCACAGCCTTTAGGTCCCCTTGCTAAGGAGTCCTGTTTGTAGGAATTTCTGACTATGGAGATTTTTTTTTTTTTTTTTATACTTTGGGAAATCATTAAGCTTCAGGGAACTAGCAAAGCATAGTATTCATTTCTATATGTGTCACAACAGAGGTGCACAGTTACAGATTAAACAGTGGTTGCTTGCGCTGCTTGGGTTTAAGACATCTCCATGAGGTCTGCATTTGGGGCAAGGAAAAACATTTCCCCTCCGGTGCTGCTGCTGTGCTCAGACCCTGGGGACAACTGACAGTGTGTTCTCTTGCCCCACACAATAACAAATGAGAGGAGACCCCCAGGCACTGACGAGGCAGGCAGGTCTGGGCACTCCCTTCGTGCTGCCACTGGCCCAGCTCTGCACATTGCGGGCAGACTGCATAAAACTGGTCACAGGTGCCAGCCCTGAAACCAAGGATGGGACCTGCATCCTGCAGCTGCTCTTCCCCTAAGCAAAGGGCTGGGGAAGGCAGCGAGCTACAGAGCTGGTGCTGAAGGGCACAGATGAGTGTGGCTGTAGGGCTTGGGGAGATGGGGCAGCCCTGGAGGATGCAGGGGGGTGGATGACACAGCTGGGAAGCAGGACCCTGCAGCTGTCAGTGGCTGCAGGCATGGGACAAGGCGCGCTGGCACATGGGAGCTAAGGAAGCAGCTGCTGCGGGCAAAAGGACAAGCAATAGTCCAGCAACCAGGGAGGGCTGTTCGTGACCAGCCATGGTCCTGTGATCCTCTTGTCACTGACACCACACTTCTAGCACCATTGCTGAAAGGTCAGCAGTGGGCTGAGGGTCCAACCCCCCGTCATCCTTTTGATCCCTCTTGGCAAAACCCCCGGCACCAACAGCGTGGGCAGATTCATTTGTCCGATGAGCAGCGCAGGACCATTGTCCCCAGGTGACTGTGGCTGGTCTTTGGCAAAGGGAGGGCAAGGCAGCTGCTGACTCAAAGGACCCAGAGACCTCTGCTGCACCTGCAGCTTCTCTGGCAAGAACCAACCCACATCGCTACCTCTTTAAGGTAGGACGTCCAAACACCAACTCTCCTTTATCTGTCACAAAAGTGCTGGCCCTTGGCAGCCCTAGTGCAGCCTCCCGCTCAGAGCGGGACTATCCCCAGCACCAGGTCAGGGCAGCCACAGCTTTGCCTAGCCACTTGGCTGCAGGGCTGAGCTGTGAGGCAAGAGGGGTGCATGAGGATCGCTTCAGAGCTAGAGGTGCCTCTGAAGTTCAGCTGCGGAGTGGCCTCCCAGGGCAGGAGGACAGCGGCCATGGGAGCCACA